TCCCCCCCCCCCCCCCCCCAACGTGCAGTCTTTTGTCTGCCGATAAGAAAAGACGCGTCACTCATCCCTCGGGCTTTTACTGTATATAAATGATTTAAGGTCGGGCCAGACTGTCTGACACTTCCGGTTTCGTTTTAAAGTCCCTTCACCTCCTCATCCTTCTACTTGCTTAATTATTGTTTAAGTAAGGGAAAAGTTAAGTTACTTAAAGAATGGAATCCTATCCCGTCACGGTACCATCCTCACAGTATTCATTTAATTTAGCGAATGAGAATTTCAAGCAACAAAGAAGTATTTCCATAATAAAAAATGCAAGCATTTATTTAACAAATGAGGTTAATCAACAATTGTATTTCGTTATAATATAGAAATAGAGTACCCCTTAACTACACTGTTGAATTGGTGTAGCATTCAAGCAAAGATAATAATGAATTGACTATTCATTCATAACACGAATTGCAATTTCCAAGCAACAGCACATTAATATGATGGCAAGCTCTTGAATACCCTAAAGAGGTTATTTAAATTTAGATTTCGCACTTCAAAGTAATTATGGCAGGATTTTACAGCTTTTGATCAAATGACAGTCATGTCTGCTTTGCAGATTTGACCTCGTCTACTAAATGCATTCGGTAACATCACAACGGACGGAACAAATTTCATATTGGTCCGTGGCTATAAAATAAACGCATGAATAAAATCACCATCTCGTCTCCATAAAGGCACTTCCAAGAAGATGAAAACATACCAGCAAATCATACTCCCAGTCAAACAATGAATAGAAATTTAAGATCTCTTACCCGAGTTTGATTTAATTAAACATTTATTTATTTCAAATGGCAGGCGTTTTGATAGATATCATTAGCCCTTTAGCAGACTTCGGACATCACAGATTCACAGATGTGAAGATGGATGTAAAGGTAAGACGGATACTGTTGAAGTGGTTGAATTTAACATACAGTGGGGTCTTGATACCGTTAAAGTAATAGAGTGGGGTGATGGTAGTTTGAAGTCAGAAGTCAACTGCCGATCAATAGACTTTTTGCAAGTCAGAAGTCAACTGCCGATCAATAGACTTTTTTGTCTTTGAAGTCAGAAGTCAACTACCGTACAGTGGGGTCATGGTAGTTTGAAGTGAGAAGTCAACTGTAGGTGAGGTGAGTACTGTGGAAGTAGTCGAATATGACACAGTAAGGTAAGATGATTACTGTGAAAGGGGTCGAATATGACATAAGTGAGGTGATGGTAGTTTGAAGTGAGAAGTCAACTGCCTTAGTCGAATATGACATACAGTGGGGTCAGAGTCAACTGAAGGTAGAAAAAAGGCGAGGTGAGTACTGTGGAAGTGGTGAAATATGACATACAGTGGGGTGATGGTAGTTTGAAGTCAGAGGTATATGACATACAGTGGGGTGATGGTAGTTTGAAGTGAGAAATAGGTAGAAAAAAGGTGAGGTTAGTACTGTGGAAGAAGTCGACAGTAGAGCAAAGGTGAGGTGAGTACTGTGGAAGGGGTCGAATTTGACATACAGTGGGGTGATGGTAGTTTGAAGTGAGAAGTCGAAGAGAAAAGGTAAGATGAGTACTGTTGAAGTGGTCGAATTTAAGAAAAAAGGTGAGGTGAGTACTGTGAAATGGTCGAATATGGACAAAGGTGAGGTGAGTACTGTAAAAATAGTCGAATATGATATAGAGTGGGGTGATGGTAGTTTGAAGTCAGAAGTCAACTGCCGATCAATAGACTTTTTGCAAGTCAGAAGTCAACTGCCGATCAATAGACTTTTTTGTCTTTGAAGTCAGAAGTCAACTACCGTACAGTGGGGTCATGGTAGTTTGAAGTGAGAAGTCAACTGTAGGTGAGGTGAGTACTGTGGAAGTAGTCGAATATGACACAGTAAGGTAAGATGATTACTGTGAAAGGGGTCGAATATGACATAAGTGAGGTGATGGTAGTTTGAAGTGAGAAGTCAACTGCCTTAGTCGAATATGACATACAGTGGGGTCAGAGTCAACTGAAGGTAGAAAAAAGGCGAGGTGAGTACTGTGGAAGTGGTGAAATATGACATACAGTGGGGTGATGGTAGTTTGAAGTCAGAGGTATATGACATACAGTGGGGTGATGGTAGTTTGAAGTGAGAAATAGGTAGAAAAAAGGTGAGGTTAGTACTGTGGAAGAAGTCGACAGTAGAGCAAAGGTGAGGTGAGTACTGTGGAAGGGGTCGAATTTGACATACAGTGGGGTGATGGTAGTTTGAAGTGAGAAGTCGAAGAGAAAAGGTAAGATGAGTACTGTTGAAGTGGTCGAATTTACGAATATGGCATAGAGTGGGATGATGGTAGTTTGAAGTCAAGTAGTCGAATTTGACATACAGTGGGGTGATTGTAGTTTGAAGTCATGTCAAATGCCGGTTAATAGACTTTTTTGCCGTATGAGAATGTAGGACATATAGGGGGGTCATGGTAGTTTGAAGTGAGAAGAAAACTGCCGGTTAATAGACTTTTTTGCCGTATGCGGAGAAGTCAACTGCCGGTTAATAGACTTTTTGCCGTACGATCATACGTTGCCCAGGGTGCACCACGTGGAGGTAAGTCTATTGCACACCCCGATTTAATTAAACATAAGGAGACAACGAGAACCGTTAAACTCACGAGTAACTATTCATGAGATCATCCCCCGATCTAACGTTATAGAGATTTCTGTTACTGCAAATAAAAACGTGTAAAACAGTTTAAATACTACCGATAGTCCAATTATAAACATGGCCATTCCAGTGTACGGTTTGTTTACATCTGATGCTCAGCCTTCCGCATAAGACCACTTACTAATGTGAATTCAGAGATGCTCATAAATATGGGTGTTTAAACCAATTTGAAGACAAACATACACGAAAATCCTATTCAAAGGCATTAATACATTCGCTTTATTTTCCACATCTGCATAAAGCAAATTCGACGCTTTTTCTTCTTATTCATTTACGTCCTAATCTCTCTCTTGCCACTTAAGATGTCCAGTCATACAGCGCATTGGCCCTCTCTTTTATCCTCCCTACTGCAACCGTGTCTTGGGTGCATGTTCTAGCAAAGTGTTGAGTCACCCGAAACTGCATGCAGCATGACTCAAACATGCTAACAAACGTCCTTGAAGGCGGCAGAGAGGAAAGGAAGTAGGAGGAAAGGGAATATGCCTGTGCGACCCACTACCAATCGGCTGCATTTATATTACCTATGGTGGGGTATGCGATAGACTTACCTCCACGTGATGCTCCCTGGGCAACGTATACTCATACGGCAAAAAAGCCTATAAACCGACTGCATGTTCGACCACTTCCGCAGTACTCACCTTACATTTTCTCTGACTGCGTTTGTCTGTCTTCTTTACATCTGTGAATCACTCTTCCTTTCCTCCTCTCGACTATTTGTGACTTTGTCCGTTCCTCCCCTCTGTGAAGCCCGAAGTCAGCTAAAGGACTAATGATAACTATCAAAAGGCCCGTCATTCGATTTAAATAAATATATCTATGGTGTTCATGTGCTAAATTCACCCCATTTCACTCCTACCCCGCCCTTCTAGACATTTTTGCCTCAGGTAAGTTTGCACACGCATGTCAAAAAGCTAGACTCAGACGAGTAGACACCCTTGAGAGAGCTGATAATATTGATCCGGAATGGTCCTATTATCTAAAAGTAAATGAGTGAATTAAGCGAGACCTGAAACCAATAAAACTGCATTTTTCACCAGATCATAATTCCTCAATCAGCTCCACTAGATAACCATCTTCATCTCTATTGTCTTTAGCAGGCAACCAATCTGATTGATAACCCACTCATTTAAGCTACATTTAAATAGAACGAAGAGTATAACAAAGACAAGAAGATTGTCAACGCCTAAACTATGACAAAGCCAGCACTTATATCAGTCGAGGTCACAGTTGCTATGGTCCTATGAATCACCATATATACCACTGGTCTAGGCTGACAATGAAACTTGACAACCTCACGCCCTAACGTACAATGCCCACAGATAAAATTAGAGATAGTACAAATAAAAAATAAGTTAATATATTAAGTATGTACAGGCACTTTCAGTTAGCAGAGGGGTAAGGAGGAGTTTTTGGAAAGGGTCATATGGAGGACGATGGAAAGCTCTCTAAGCAGCCATAACTGTTTCGAGCATGCTCGATGTTTTCGTAGGTAACTAATTGTGGAATGGGATCATCGAAGGCATCATGAAGTAGATCGCTCTCGAATACATTCACTTGGCTTGGAACCCTTCGGCAAAGTCGGTGGTAATTGCCGTTCTGGTCAGGAACGGTAAACGCTTCGCTGATTTCTTCGTAGGATGAATAGCAGTCATCCAAACGTTGACGAATCTCCGATGCACTGGGTCGGTCAGAAGCCTGGAATTTAAGACAATCACAAATCACACTCCACAGGCTATCAGGAATAGCCGGGGGACGGTCAATGGTTAGAGGAGATTGGTTTTCACCTTCACGGCCTTCAGGAGTGACGTAATTCAGGAAATCATTAGCTTGACCGCGATTAGAAGAAAGCAGACGCAACAAAGCGTCAGAATTTTGGACATTTTCAAAAGGCTTTTTTGTTTCGAAAAAAAACATCTGCCAAAGTAGAAGCCCGAATTCCCAAATGTCCGATGACAGATAGAAAAGTTGCTTTGACAAGGCTTCTGGAGGAAGAATTCGGAAAGGAAGCTGCTTACTGAAGGTGATAATATGATAGCATGCATTTGATGGGTGGCAGGGACCATTGGAACAATCTTGTTGGGTGTCAACTGTTACTGCCAAACCAAAATCGCATATTTTAGGTTCGAATCGGGAGTCTAAAAGGATGTTTCTCGTCGCCAGATCACGATGAATGACGCTATTTTGAGCCAGATATTCAAGACCCCGAGATATACCCACAGCTATTTGGAGGAATATGGATGAAGAATTTCGTGTGAGACGTTGATAAACAAGAGCTGTATTGCGTCGCCCTCCACGTTGTCGTCTACGTTTGCTGCTCCTTGACTTTGGCTCGCTCGTGGATCTTTCTTCGTAGTCATTAAGGATAATTCGAGCCGGAGAATTGCATGCTTCCCAAAAAAATTTCGACACAGATCCATCACTAGTGGGACTTGGTGTGGTGGAGATTTGAGTACTTGCTGTACTTATTCCGCCCTCCGTGTTTCGGACAAACATTGGCCGATTGTCATAGCACCCCCGTGGATAGAGCATCCTTCGTATGAAGTTGCTGAGACTTGAATTTGGACAAAATTCTAGAACTAGTAGAGTGTCACTTAGATCGCCCCTCTCACCGAAAGCGCAACCAATCATTTTGACAATATTAGGTCCATCTGAGAGTTTCATAAGGTGAATTATTTCATTTCGGAAGCAGGATAAGCTAGCCATTTCGGAAGAGGGTGATTTGAGAGCAACAAAAAAGGCATTTGTGCGTTTTTTATCCTTATCACCAGATCCATTGTAAATGCCTTTCTGAACGGTACCATAGTGGCCATTACCGAGAGGTTGAGAAAACGGTCTCAGGTCGTGACGGTCAATGCACCATCGATCTCTCAGTTCTTCCGTTGGCATTAAGCTAAATAGTTCTTCTTGATAGAAGGGAGCAAAATTATTAGCCATCTTGTTAGGGTATCCATAAATAAGATTGTCCATTTTGATGAGTTTTTCCGCTTTCATCACCTGCTTGCCCTTACGCCAGAGGCATGTACCCAAGCACACTAAGAAACAAATGACCATAACGAGAGGAACAATGATCCAAAACATGTAGTTCTTCCACAAACGCGAAAAGAGCGCATTACCAGTAAGTTCATTAGCAGTACTTATTCGAATCAAACTGAGAGAAAACGTATCAATTCCTATGTAGTTCAGGGCCTCACATATAATGGTAACATTTTCAGTCTGCGGAGGAGGGATATATAACAAACTACAGCTATTCTCTTCCTTTGAATGCGACTCATAACACCACTTAAGTAGTATATTATTATCCTTCTGAGTGCCATTAACTAAACGCCACTTGATTATCGGGCCTGGTCCACCAATTGCTCTACAGGTGAGTCTGACGATCTCATTAGCAGTAAAGTAGCGAACTGGTTGATTCGGTTCAACAATTTCAGGAACTTTTGAGGAAACGACATCAACAATAAGTGGAACTGCATCTTCCTTATATGAGCCACAAACGTATGCTCCGGATGATTGGACAACGGAAGTGTTCATTCTAAGTCGGCTTTCAAGGGTGAAGGCTAGCGCATATAGCTGAAGTGTTCCATTTGGAAGACTGTCATTACCATAAACATCTCGGAAGGAAATTATCGGCCAAAGAGTTGATTCATTGATTCTACTTACACTGCATCGAAGTTCAATATCAGAGCCCTCGTACACACTAAGATAAGAAAGAGATCCATTTCTCACCAGTCTACTAACAGGATATGCCGTAGTGATACGGAAACTTGGGTTTGAGACCCTCGATACCTGAATAGGTGCAAATGTGGGCAAAAATCGAAGTGACCCCGCTTCAAATATTGAAAGGTTGTACTCTGTGGGCTCCTTCTTCGCTTCCAGAGTTATGCATTCCTTGTTACTAGTTGTACTACCTCCGACGGTAAAAAACGTTTGGCATACAACACACAGTTGCCGGGAGAATACTCTAACTGGGGGTAAACTGAGGGAAGATAACTTGAGAAGAAATTGTTTAATAGAAGATTTTGAAGGGAGTGACCACTCCAATATCGGTTCCACTTGAACAGTCGAGTTGATAAGTGGAGGAATCAATAAATTGGACTCATTTGTATAAGTCTGTTCAGATAATTCGTCTCCCCTATAGACGAACCAGTGAATTCGATCCACTGTGGTGTTAAATAAGGATGGCAAATGGTTCTCGATTGCAGGACAGGAGACATTAATTGGAGCATCGACAGATCCACGCAAACCCAAAATTGTTGATCGGGGTAGAAGAGAATTAGGCGATGGATAGACAGTAACAAATGTCTCTAAATTGCCTTGGTGCAATATGAGTTCAAATTTGTGTGCAGGCAATGTGACATTACATACCCATCTGTCGACAGCTCGGTTAAACCTAATGTGTTCTTTTCCAAGGCTAGGAGATGAGCAGAATGTCTCAGCAGTGATTTCATTTAAGGCATAAAAACCAATCTTTAAATGTTTCAGAGACTTATCCAATAGCAGCACCGTTTGGTTCCCGGTGGCATTATTTTTAAGTATGTTGTAAGTGGAACGATCATCAGGATACAAAATGTTCACAGTCATCTCATTAAACTTGGTTGATGGTGAAACCAAAAAACGAATTGAAAAGTTTTGATCTTCCATCGCTCTGTTCCACTCACTGATTTCCACATCAACTCTCATGGAAACATGTTTAGTGGTGAGATTTAGAATATCGGTAGCATAGGCTACGTTTTCACCAATTTTCTTTGTTATGAAGCAGTTATGCCGAGACCAAGAAGAAACTGGTGACTGAGTAGACTCAGTACTAACTCGCCAACGGTAGCATAATGTAGGTAATTTATTGGCTACAAACACATTAAAGTAAGAAGCCGTGCAGGATATAGTCAGATTTTGCTTTTCAAAGACCCTAAACCGGGGAATGATTGAGGTATGCATCGAGAAGTTTTGTTTGATAGGAAGAATTCGACATGTCACAGTCGGTAAAATAGTGGGAGGAGCGAGAGGTCCCCGTAGCTTTACCACACACTTTGATTTAGGATAAAAACATATAAGATGTGTATGCCTCTGTAAAACAGTCTGATTAGTGGTACAAACACCAATTTTGGGATCAAAATGACTCATGCCCATCTTAGAGAAGTCCACAGAATCGGAGGAATTCGCAGAATTGAACCATAAATCCCTAGACCTTTTAATTGATCCTAACTGACTGTAAATCCGCAAATGGGAATCTGGAAGGGGAGCAGGACAAGGTACTAACACTTTCGACTTCCAGGGAAGATTTAGGGTTGTTTCTGGACAAGAACTCATACTAGTATAAAGGAAAACTTGCAGACAGGATGGAGCAGTTGATAAAGTAGACGTATTCCACAAATTATGAGAACAATATTCATCCTCTGGCCAAGAACAGCAGGGACAACAAGAGGGGGTTTGGACACGCTGGATGGCAATGTCGGGAAAGCGAGCTCTTTTTCGAGGGCAGCAAGTGTAATATCCTCGTTGAAGTGGCCTTTTCTCAATTTTATCCAGATCAATTCTTAATCGATTACCGGTTGTATGTTTAGGGTCCACTGATGTGCGAGGTACGAACCATATAGGGTGAGTAGGCGGGCAGATCAAATCGACAAATGTCGAATTTATATCGGCCACCACATCAGAGCTCTTGGAATCGAGGGCAAGATAGTACTCAATTGCTTGGGAAATGATAGCATGGTGCAGAGAGAGCAGAATGATAAAAAGGAGTTGGTAAAACATCTTTTGATGTCACTCGTGCATTCGTAAATTCGAGAGATTGATAAGAGAGTGAGGAGAGTGGATGAGAAAATTATTTAATGGAGACTACGTACGCACAAGAACACAATTTACTAATAGCCACTGCTCTGTGAATCTGCTGCGTACCCCTCATTTATAGAGATTCGATTGGCTCAACTGTCCGTATGCCTAAGCCAATGGGAACACGAAGCGACCGGTTGTCAGTCTATTGTAGTGAAAGCTAGCCTCTCGATTTTGTTATTTTACAATCCAGCCTTCTATGGGTGTCTTTTATCTAGTTTTCAACTAACCAAACTTAATTTACTCGTCTTAAATTCTTTAAATAGTTGATATACAGCAAGAATTGTTTATTAGATTGAATTTTTAAGATAAATCGAAACCATCAAAATGGCTTATGTGTAACAGATTATATGTGCTTATTCAATCACCCACATTAACTGATTTTAAAGGTTAATAATTGCTTATACAGCTAATATACCTAATTTCAAGTTTATTCTAATAGCTATTATTATATAGCCCACGTGACAAAAGTTAATATTTTCGAATGAAGAGTAATAGGCCTTCATCGAATGTATTGAACTTAGAATAGTAAAGTGGTGATCTCAGAATCAAAGTTACATTATAGTCAAGTAAGTATCGACCGACATATGATCCAAGATAAAGGTCCATTTGAGTTTGAGAATTTGCTCCAATAATGAATGCATCCTTCTTCTACCTATTGATTTCTTTCACCCATTTAATAAAAAAACCATTTCGTTTGATAATGAATCAAACCCTTTACACCACTTGTACCGGATCGAAAATAAATCCAAGTGTCTTCCATTTCCTAATGAGGGTGAGTTAAATAAAGTAACCTCTACTGCAGATTGTCCTTTTATATTTTGTCATTTATGGAATCAGTAATTAGTTTGGACTGAACGGCTTCCAATAAAATCCATTTAAGTAAATTGTTCAAAAATGACAACTTTAAGGAGTAACCCAACCAAGAGTGGGATAGGATAGCAGCATCCTTTCAAGTAGGTGGGAGCATTATTTAAGTTCGCCTCAGGAAAGGATAGGAAATTTGGGTTTGCAAAATCAAGTCATATTGGGCTCCCATTGGGTATACCATCAAAATGCCGATCAAAATATTGGTTATACATTTGTATTTCAAGTCTAAGGGCTAAGCCTTTTGACCATTGCCATAGATGGACAGGATAATTTTTCGTTGGTCTGATCAAGATAACTTTTAATTGGACCTCTAAGTGATTAGAAGTCACCTCCACCTTTCCCGGAGTCTATTTT